AAAAGTAGAGTGGCGAGCTTGGGGTCACCGGGAGTAAAGAAAGGAAAGAGAGGGCGGGTTTTGAAAACTGTGGACGGTGCTTGGGTGCGGGGGGGGGGGGGGGTACTCAACAAATGTTTATACGGGGAGGCACCACCCTTTTTTTCACGAAAAAGGTACCCTTTTCGTATACCTTCTATTGACAAATGGTACCCCTTTAACATACCTTGTTTAGAACTTTGCATCCCTTTTAACTGCTGTAAAAGCGCTCGTCTTTCAAATAGGAATCAATCACAAAAATTGAACTTAACGTTTTCTCGACTTTATAAAGCCTTAAAATTCATCTGTTACCCCTTTTGGGGTCCTTTCACAGACCCAAATGACAGATTTCCCACCCCTTTTATTTACTTCAACAAGTAAAATCCCTACCCTTTCATATACCTGAAGCCTGAAAAAGATACCTGTTTCGGGCGGAGCCTCCCCGTATAGGTAATTATAGGGAGTACCCTCCGGGTCTTTAGTTGGTGTTGTGCAAGGGGGTTGGATGAAAAGATATTAATTGCAAAAGTTGGAATTCAAATCCATTTGAACGGCCCTGGATGCAAGCTGCTATACTCAGGAATGGAAAGAGACATGTATATAACGAACTTTGAAATTTCGTACGTTAACAGAGTAGCGAATATAGGTAGCTATAGGGGTCGGAGGGAGAGTCCGTGGAAAGCACCATTTAGACCAACTGTTTTGAAACTGGAAAAAGGCTGAACATTCGCATACCGCCTTCATTTGGTAGCTTACAGTGGAACCTGTTTTGCACCCTCAATCATGATCAGTACACCTTTTTAAACCACTGGCTTGTTATATAAATTGACGAAATCTGAACAAAACTTACAACTAAACCGACAAGAAGAATGTTGTGAACCTTTTTTTTTTGTTTGGCTTTTTTGTGAATGTTCCAGATGTCTGAAAGTGGCTCACATCTCCCAGTAACACTGTAGTAAAAAAAAGGGTAAAACGCAGCGTGTAATATACTATGTGAGGACCAGGTAGTGATATTGGATATGTTAAGACGTTCCTTGACCTGGACTGCACCACACTGGGTTTCTGAGACTTGACACGCGCGTCTAATTTAATAGCGAGTTTAATTTAGTAGTTAAAATTATGTGTTGCACGAATCATCATGACATTAGTGGTCTACATAATTGACGTTGCCTCGTAGAAGTAAAGTGTAATGGCTAGAAAGGATGAAAATTATCAGCAATTAAACAGATTCAACAGATGAAATGAGTTGAACTTCGCTACTCGATCCTCTCTTACCTACCTACTTTTTAAACCTCCTAGATTCAGCCACGTTACCTACCCTGCTTGCAGAAGTTTGTCCGTTCCGGCATGGTTTTAGGCATTAAGTAAGTGAAGAACCCAACCACGCGAATGTTAACAACGAAAAAGACTTCATAAATGCTAAAAAACCATACTAAGAACACACCATTCTAGCCGGGTATGTTGTTACTGTGTAACAGTGGATTAAAATGGCCGAGAGTCTGGTTTCTTTTTTTTTTTTGTTAACTGGCTGGCAATGAATTCAATTTATTACTCGAAGTTCACGATTTGATTTTCCAGATGTGTTACGAACTGTACATGTTTTAAGGTCAATCTGATTGGTTCAATCAGAAAATAGCAAAGTGCCAGAAAACTGGGATAATTCATGGCATGGGGTCATGAAGTACAGTGGAACCTCGATAAAACCGCTGTATAATTACCGTCCCGGTATAATGTGAAGTACAAAGTACAGCCACACCCAGTTAATGCGAACAGTGATGGGACCATAAAAAGCGTCCGTACAAACGGGGTATCCGTATTAAGCCGGTTCAATTTAGAGAGAATATAAGGGCATTCTTTTCCAAGGGACAAAACAAACTGTCCGTAATGAGGTGTCTGTTTTAAGCAGGTGTCCATAAAGAGGGGTTTGACTGTATGGAACAAGACCCACAAGAGAAGATGTCTCTAACGTCTCTTCTTCTTTTTACTAGTGGTAAGGTTTTTTACGCGCGCTCATTCTAAAAATTTTGATCCATGGTGTTAAGTTGCCCAGTCTCTAGGCCTCATTATTCTGCGCGGCCAAAGCGTTTCGGGCTACGTGGTCCAAGCGAAAATGTTCGCCTCGGATGCGTCACCGAAATGAATGGACCGATACGGACTGGGAAAACGCCGTAGAGGGACTAGACAAGGTGCTAAGTACTATTTTGGAAGAAGGTAAAAATTGGAATTTTGGTAGTGGGGCCGGGGAGGGGAGAGGGGAGGAGGGTGAAGGGAAGAGAAAGGAAAAACGCTTTCCGAGAAAGCCTATGAGATTATCGAACACCCCTCAAATTAGTTGCGCTTGATCTCTTTTCTTCAAATGTTTTATACAGCCAGTGGAAATTGAGCACGTTTTCACTAGAAGCCGAAATTGTCTTCGGAATTCAACAACATTGACAGGTGTATTTGAGTTTGGTGAATGCAGATAGCCAGAAATATAATGTTACGTCCAAGTAAGGTTTGTAAATATTGTTTTAAAGTGAAGTTAAGGGGCCTCACTGGTTAAAAAATACTTCTCCTCGCAAAATCTGGTTAAACCGTCTGGTTCTGGTTTAAATCTGGTTCAACCCGGTCCCAAAATTGTCAGTTTGGCCATTTGTTCAAGGTTAGCAACCTTACAACTTTTCCATCAGCGAGTGGTACATTTGAAAATAGCATTAAAGGCCAGCTTACAGCTCGAGAGCTGCCTCGTACCTGGGCGCTTCTTGAGATTTTCTACGGTGCAACAGGTCATGGGAAGGACTTAAAAATAGGAAGCGCCGCGTTCCTTTTCACGTTGAGTCTTCCCTTGTACCTTTGCGTTTTTGAAGCTTCTCATGATCTTTACGTCGCGACTACCGTCAAAAATCTCAAGAAGCGAATAAATTAAGCGTAAATTCTTGGCGCGAAAGGACCGAAAGAAACGTGGTTTTGATTGGCACCTAGCAATCAAAATGCTACCATCACCACCAATCAGCTTCTCTTTCTATCTAGTGTACGTGTTCGCCAAAGGAACGATGACTGTGCGCAGGCGTATTTTTCCCTCTGCTCCCCTTTCTCTATTTTAGGCTCGTTGTCCCTTCCCTCGGCTTGAAACCATTTTTGGCTTGCCTTAACCCTCTGTCAATATCATCATCCAAGATGGCGACAGAGCAGCACAAAGTTATGTCTGTTCTGCACAAAATCTCATTTTATAACGAAGTTTCAGGCTATTCGAAGAATAAAATAACCTGTCCCTCCCAAGTAACCGTATCGGCTATTTTTCAGCCAGTTTCTCGTAAATGCTTGTAAATAACCAGCCTAACAAAGCTGTAGCCTGCATTTCCTTGAAATGAAAAATATAAATAAAAGTAAAAAGAAATAACAGGTTAAACCTAGGACGTGAAAGCATTTCAAACCCTTGGGCAATAGGGGAGGGTTAGCGGTGGTTGCGATAACCCCTCCTTCCCCCATACGAGGTTTTAGTCTTGAATAAACTCACAGAGGCAGGTTATCCCTAGGATATGGAAGCAAAATCCAAACCCTTCCTCAATAGGGAAAGGAGGTGGTTGCGATATATAATCCCCACACCTCTGCGTTAACAGTTTCAAATAAAATTGGATATGTCCGGACCTTGATACCCCCAGTAGCGGACACCTTTGATTACACTGACGGCTTTTGAGAAGCAACGAATCTACTTTTATGTTATTTTTCACCCCAGCATTGCGTTAGCAAAAATATCGTTGTCAGTCATATACAGAACAATTCCCAGAACAAAATCTTATTAAGAAGATGCAGAAATTGTCCAACGATTTATTATACCACATTAAATTAACAACATCTCAAAGACAATAGTTATTGATTATGATACTTGACATATGTTTATGGGGATTTGCACTTTACTTGCTAATACAAAGTCATTCAATGATACTATTTGGAAGATCTTATAATTTAAGGCGTAACTATTGCTTATGATACTGATTGAAAGTTTTTCAGGGGTGAAGCCGGCCATTTTTTCCTTTTAAGCCCCTGGGCCCAGTTGTTCGAAGGCCGATTACCGCTTAACCCATGGTTCATTTTAACTCGGGTTCCTTTTTCTGTTGTTTAAAAGCATTTTCTCGGATAATTTTCTCTGTTATTTTTAAGAGCATCAAATCATCAACTTGTTGACAGAAAGAATTAAACTGAATTTATGTTTTAAGCTTTCTTATCTGAATTCAAATTTCGTACTAACCCTGGGTTATCTTAACCCAGCTTTGAACAACCCGACCCTGCTGTAGAAGTCCTTAAAGGGAGGGGGGAGAGGGGAGAGGGAAGGGGTGAGGATGTAGAAGCAAGCTAAGTTAACGGTTACCTTTAGTTAAGACAATACAGCACAGTTTGCTTTTGCGGTTAAAACTGTTGCTTTAAATGAGTAAATAGCATAACACTTATGTACACCAACAGTAAAACTATATGATTCTTGCAGGTAATCAAAGTCAACAAAGCGGGCCAATGTTCATCACCGCGACAGACATTGGTATCTGTGTTAGATGCAATTTCACTCCCTGTTATTAACTTTAGATTAGGGAAGGTACGTTTTTAATTGGGGGGGAGGGAGGGGTGGGGCTTCAGAGGGGAGGGTCATCAAAGCAAACATGGGACCCTTGGGGAGGGTCAACCCTTATTATAAAAGGTATTAAGGGAGAGTCAAGCCTTTTTTTCACAGTGATTTGTGTAAATGTGCTTAGTTACCACATTGATGTCATTTCGTCGTATTGTAAAGCTTTGTACCAGTCCTTCCAGTTAAACAGCAGTTTTATTACAGTTCATTCATCAGATTCACTCACTCTTTCTTTCTTTCTTTTTTCTTCTTGTTCTGCCATGGCACGTAACTGTCTCGGACGCCGGACGACCTGTGTTCTCTTTCGGCCGCACCTTGACATTGTTGTGTCCACTGTATGCAATATACAGGGCTGTCACTTATATCGCTCAATTCTATCGATGATGTTAACAATGTTTCAGAACCTACAATCCTTTCCTCTTCATCACTTTCTGAGCCCAAAGTTGAAGTTTCTTTACGCAGTGGAGTCTCTTTCTCCATGCCTGGTAAGATCCTGCTAGCGATATGTACTTTATATATGCCACTTTCTCTGGCTTCTCCCCTTTAAACACGATTCCATGGCGTACCAAGTACAAATTAAGTTCATGAACTTTCAACGACGATATTTGGTCAGAATTATACAATTGCTCTCATTCAATGTCGTTGTAATCTTGTTCCGGCCGCTGCGTTGGCTGCCTTTCACTTTCAGCTCTTCGCTTTTCCTTGTGCATTTCAATTTGAGCAAGTTGATCAACATAGTCCTCCACAATCTTCAGCGGGACAATACAGTTCCAAGAAAATTCAGCTGTTGTCTCGTCGTCTCCCGGATTTAATTTGTTTTGGTGGAACACTCTTTTCATTTGAGCTTTGGGCTAAAAATCATCAGGTTCACGACCATCGACAGATGTTGCTGATAGTGGTAGATAATGGGAATCAGAAGGCTTGTCACAGTCAGGGAAGGATCGCATAGTTGCCTCTACGACCAAGCCCTCCCCCCCAATAAAAAACCTACCTTCCCTTATATCAGCTCATTTTAACCCGCATTTTTGTTAACCCGGGCTTAATGGCTTAACGGCAGCTACGCCCCTGCATGTTCTTATGTTTTCCCCTTCACTTGCTGACTAATTTGTTTTAATAATACTGAAAAAAAAAATCTACAACTATCGTCCTTCAGTTACTGGCCATGATGCCGGATACTAAGCCAGCTGACTAAATTAAGGCTCTGTTTTACTTAAGTGCGACTTCTAAGCCATTTAATGACTCCAATAAAAAATAAATGACTTAAGCTATTGCTCACGATACTGAATGTAATCTCTTGGGTTTTCCTTTTCCCTTGCTAAACTACAGTCATTTTTAATGACACCAATAAAAATATAAAACTCTTCAGATATAGAACTTTTGCTTTTGCTTATCATACTAAAAATACGTTCTTAGGTTTTCCTTTTCACTCGCTAAACTATGTCATTTACTTTGATACCGACGAAAAGCTCCACAACTATCAAGTTTCAGCTACCGTTCAATCATGACGCCGGCTATTGCTTATGAAACTGAACATTGGTTCTGTTTTTCTGTCCTACTTGCTAATACTAAGCCTTGAACTAACAGAGAAATCTTCAAATACAAACGGTAAGCTCAATCAGGTCTTACGATTTTTGCGCTAAATCAAATATAAAACTGATTATATACTGAACATATGTTATATTGCTGTTCTGTCTTACTTGAGATGCTAGTACTAAGTCCTAGAAACCTAACTCTTCGAAAATATACCTTGAACTATTGCTTTCGAAACTGAACATTAAGCTAAAGGTCCTTCGTTTTACTAGTAACGAAATAAATTCAATCAAAAAAGAAACTTCTTCATGTAAAAACAAAAAGCTGTTACCTAAGTCAAAATGATGTAAAAAAAAACACTCTTTGACCATAAACTTTACAATAAACTGATTACAAACTTTTACACTACATTACGAGTAGAACGATTTCTGTTTACTTGCTAACTCAAAGTCATTTAATGACGCCAAAAAGAAATTATTGAAAATATTCCTTAATCTGTTGAGGCTATGATATTGTACATGTTTTCTCTAGCTTTGCTTTTAATTACTAATTCAGTTTAATTCACCAAATGTTAATAGAACGTCTTCAAATGTAAGCCTTGCGCTTTTGCTTACGATACAAGCTGATACAGTACTCCGCATCAATTCTAGAGCTTTTCTGGTTTGCTTGCTAATAATTACTGTAAATCCTTAAACGATGCTAAAACAATGAACATTTATTTTTAAAAGGTTAAACGTACTGTTAAGGCATACTTTTCGAAGCTTTTCCATGTTTGAGGGCTTTTAATTCACAGCGTGTTTTTTTAATCCACCTCCTGTCAAGAGACAAGCCGCTCACGTAACATTTCTAGATACTGCATGTACATCCATCATCAATGTTAAAGCTCCAAACTGCAAGATTAATAAGTACAGACTAAACATCAACAACCATTTCGCAGTGAAGTAAGATTAAAAACAGTGCCACAACCATCAATAAAAAAAAATAGAAATAAACGGAAAATTTTGAGAAAAAGACCTAAAAACAACAACAAAGCATGAATCCATTTTAAGCATTTTGGGAGATTTATGTGTTCCTCACTCCCAGCAAAACTGTTGAAAGAGTTCCCAGCCAGCAAGGTACAAGAAAGGAATTAAGAAAGGAATTTTGGGTGTGGCCTAAGGGGGAAATTTACCTCTTCAGCGGGAGGGGGGGGGGGGGAAGTACCTGACAAATAGCACATACCCATACCAGCTATTCAAAACATCAAATCCCCTCAGACACCCTCAATTTACACATTCCTTCCAAGGACAAATAATTTTTTTCCAAATCTCACAGCCAGCAAAAAATTGGCCTGAAGAACAGATATTTTGAGGAACATATCCATTGAGTGTCCCTTTGTTTAATTATACCAGGTTTAACAATCATAACTCAAAAGGGTTCAAGAAACTAATCTTAAACTTGTGCGTTAATTTCTACAAACTTTAAGGCGACAATCACCAATATAGAGCGGAAAAATATGCCAAGGTAAACTAAACAGCTTTTAAACATGTTTAATATTGGTGCGAAAGGAGCGCAAGGGTTTCGGATGTTATCATTACATCCTACAATCGTTTAGTTTAAAGCAATTTTAAAATGTGATTTAGAACCTCAGTGGCAAATTGGCATGGGTTAAACGATTTCGGTTTCTTAACCGTGCTTCTTTTCACGCCTAGAATGAACTTGAAGTAAAGTAAAAATCTCATATTATAATCTCCCTTACACGCCTACCAAAATAACGTTACAGTTGGAACGGGAGAGAATAGAGAACCTTGTACTGACAATTTGTTGCCAGGTCGACAGACTGTGGCACAACCTTTCTCCCCAAGTGTTGAGCTTTCGGAACCTGCAAAACATTAAAACACGATGAATAAGTTACGATGAATAAGTTACTCAGTTGACGGATTGAAAATTGATCTATAAAAATTAATAGTAACTATCGAAACTATAAAGGCCACTTATTTCTGATTGCTTAAGTGAAATCTTCCTGGATGCTATGGATGGGAAAACTGAATGCAAAGACCAAAAGCAATCGACAATACTTAAATAACGCATGCAATTAGAAATTATCTGCTTATGTAAGGATCTGAAATCCCAAAATATAACTAAATTTGTATTCATCAGTGGTCCCAGATAACAAAGTAAGAGTGAACCATTATTACATCCCTATTAATTAAACAAGATCTGTGTTATCTACCACATCTGCGAGAATATTTGAAAACGGAGAAGAAAGATACTGGCAAAATTTTTAAAGATTGACAAAGTTTTGTGGAGCTGAAATATCTCGCTCAAAGAAGAAGGAACAGTTGATAGAATTTGTTTAAAGATCAAAGCATTTTCTCTTAGGTGATCATTTCATCAATTCTCATAACGTTTTTTTATGATGATGTATTGATATTGTTAAGGGAAAATTGAGGTTGATCACCCTTAGGACTTGAAGTGTTAAGCGGCCAGCGGCCAGCCTCGGGGAAGGGACAAGTAACCGCCTAATAAATAATAAAGGTACTTTTTTCAGTGATTTACTGACAGCTTTGTCCGAAGGGAATTTAGTAACAGGCCGCTAAATACAGTGGTTGCTTAATAAAGGTACTTTTTACAGTGATTTACTGACAGCCTTGTTCGCAGGGAATCTTGGAACAGGCCGCTAAATAGAGTGGCTGCTTAATAAAGGTACTTTTTACAGTGACTTACTGACAGCTTTGTTCGCAAGAAATCTTATAACAGGCCGCTAAACAGAGTGACTACTTAATAAAGAGACTTTTTACAGTGATTTACTGACAGCTTTGTTCGCAGGGAATCTTGTCACAGGCCGCTAAATAGAGTGGCTGCTTAATAGAGGTTCGATCCCACTGATATCTACAAACTGCACTATCCTTCACACAAGCTCCTTTTTGGGAACTACTATTACCAATTTCATGTAGGTGTGATCTGTCGACGCTACGTAAACTTAGCATTCTTCGACTAACGATAAGGAAAAAAACGCATTACCCACCTTTTGCTTCCCGGTTTACTTTGTCTCGCGGCAGTTTTACTTGGATAACTGCGCACATACATTTGGAGTTCTCAACGCCAATGGCGATCAAACCCTTTTGTGGACAGGAAGCCAGACACTTGGACGGTTTAAAATCTATATCAAGTACAGTTATGAAATCCCCAGTGCTAACATTGAACAAAGGAAGACAATAACTCCCTGAGGTATTCATGCAGACGATAACACATTCCGTCTTACTTACAAAGGCACAGCCAAGAATTCTGTTAACGGTGCATAGCGTCCGGAGATACTTTCCTGAAGATGCTTCAAGCACAAGTACTTCTGTCTTCGACTCAGAGTTTGTACACGAGACAAGGACAAACTCCTCTGTTGGAGAAAACATCCCAGGTAGGACGTCACCTAAAAACAAATGTGCCAATTTCACAGTTCTCCTCCATATTTCATTTTTGCCGTCTGACAGCTGAACTGACTTACGAGAGGTGGATAGCAGCTGATATTTCCTGTTACATACTACCTTTTTATGCAACAAATAATATCTTGACCAGTAATCCTCGAGAAAAAGTGGGATGGTCCTCACTATGTTTCCATTTGATGTGTCCAGGATGCTTACTTCAAAATCTCTCCCCACACACGCTACACAGCGGTCTGAAAATGGCATTATATCTCTAACCTCGCTTAAATTAGGCCAACTTCGGATTTGTTGTGACAACTCAAAATTCCATAGCTGAACATACGTCCCAGGATAATTATCTTTCAAAAGGACACCTTCTGACACAGGTACAAGTAAAACATCACGTGTACTTATTACTTTCTCTGCTTTACGATCTCCACTCGACACATCCAAAGATACCAATTTTAAGCCTTTATACCCTTCAAAGGTACCATAAATGGTCTTTCCATCTAAAGCGAAGGCAATGCCACGGGGACGAGAAAAGAAAGAAAAAAGCCAGCTGGCCCTCGAAGAACCCTCATGTTTAAGCATTGTAATTTTACTGTTGTTAGGAAGGACAGTTAATACACTTTGTTTGTTTAATACAAATGCAAATGTAAACGAATCAAGTGAAACGTACGAGGACAAGGAAATCTTGTAAAACATAGGATCTCCCATCAAGAATCCACCTTTGCTAGATGATTCGTAATTCCATGGATCCTCGCCAAAATCTTCATCATGACCAAACTCATAGTCCAAAGGGTTCAAGGAGAAGGTACCACAAGGCAACTTAATGACCTTTAAGGGACAACATAAGTCTCGCAACCGTCTTATTCGCCCCTTAACGTTGCGTTTGTCTTCACTTTGTGGAAGTGACCAAGACAAACAAAAAAGGCGTTGCATGTCAGGGGTAAACTTTATCATTCCACAAGGTCGAAAGGTGGCGATTTCTGCAAGAGTGGTGTTTAAGCAGTTCAATGCGTCAACCAAACATACCAGTTCCGAAAAATGGGAAATTGCCAGAAGCGTTCCATCTGGAGACAAAGCAAAAGACAAAACATCTTCATTTCTGATGGTTCGAGTGATCTCTTCACCATTTTTTAGATTCCATATGACAAGGCATTTAGCATCCCCAGGGCAATCGGTGATAATTTTGCTCTCGTCCCCATGAACTGAACAAACAGAAAATCTGCAGTTGCTTTTTGGGAACAGAGGTTGGAGGTTTCCTTTAAACGAGTAAGCATGGCTAAGGATTCCAGGAAGAACAATGGGCTCAGTAGGGTGAAAAACAACAGAGCGATAACATGAGTATACATTTGATTTTGGCACCACTCTAAAGGGGACATCAGGTTTAAAGTAGCATTTCTTGACCTCAACCGGACGTACCCACTTTTGCGCACCCGTTTTGAGGGACCAAAGGTAAATCATCCCATCAGTACATTCGCAAACCATGAACTCCTGCGTCAGTGAAGTATCAAAACAAACAACCGTGGAGTTACAGGGAAACTCAGCTTGGGTATTATTTGCCTCCTTCACAGCTTCCTTGTGAAGGTACTCCATGTATGGTATTTCACGACTCTGTAAAACTTTCGTCGCTTCACCAGCAAAAACTTCCCCTCCCTCGTTCACCATCACCCGAAATATTGTACTAGGATGCGTGGAAAGTCTTCCACGGTACTTTCGTAAGAGAGACAACAAGGTGCCAAGGGCTTTTCGGCTCTCACTACTTAATGACTGAAAAGCATCTTGTTTCTGAGTAAGGATAATGTCTTCAGAACTAGCCGTGTTGTTTACACAAAGCTTTGCATACACAATGTTTAAGTCGGTAACATAGTTAACGATTTCTTCAAAGCTTCTTGTACTCTCTTCCAGCTCTCCCGACTCGAGCATATGATAAACACCATGCTGTAGGGCGTACCTTGCAGTGTTACTGAATTCTGTACCGTGAACGCCTTTTATTTTCACATTATTCAGTTCATTAGTACAGAGCCGAGAGAGTATGGCATGACCTTGCTTTTCATCCACGGAGAAGGTGTGTTGCCCGTAGGTAGTTCTGTCAGTCAACCAGTCCTTAACTGATTTGTGGAAGAACAAAATGCAGTCATCATGAACAGGTAGAAGGGTTGAGATAGAGTCAATAGCTTTTGTTACTTTCCGAGGACCAGATGGGGACTTCGAGTCCGAAAGCAACATCTTAGAAACAAAGTCTCGTGGTAGCGGTTCTCTTGCAGCTGCCATAGCACTTAAAAAAGTCAAAAACTGGTCCTCACCAATTTCCAATTCTTTCTCTAAACGTTCGAAGTAGGACTGATAAACAGACGATACACCTGAATGTAAGGTTCTTCCTAACTCCTCGGGGATGAGAAGTGAAAAGTTGTTCTTGATAAAATCGACCATCAAATAAGCATATAAAAAATGCCCTGCAGCCTTTCGGACCAGTGCATCGATAACAACATCTTCAGAGCCCGATTGAATAACGCTGCTCAACTGTTTTTCAAGGAAGAGTCTGATGTCTTTCACGTTTTCTTCGTTATCTTGCTCTAACTGAATAGGATTAAACTTGTTAAGACGACCTGCAATATTTACTTCAGGTCGAGTGGTAACAAGAAACCGGAACCGAACAGGAAGTTTACAAAAATAATTAGCTACGACATCAAGCAGATCATTGCGGCCTTTGTATTCACTTTCATCCAGGCCATCAATAACTAACAGCAAATTTCTCCCAGGGTCTCCTACGCTACATAAAGGCTCTTCGAAAAGAAATTCGAACAACTCCTGAACTTCTAGGCTGTTAATGTCCACACCCAAGTTTCTAGAAAGTTTCTTCACAAGTTCACTTTTGTATTCTGGTAAACCATCACACAGCTGATAAGCTAACGATTGAAGCATCACCTTAGGGTTTCTGTAACGTTCCTTGTTGTGCTGACAAAAGTGACTTCCTGAGAGCCGACCAGCGTGTTGCATTCTCTGACAAACGACAGCGGCCATAACTGATTTGCCCATTCCCGCATCGCCACTGATTACCATCACACGATTTTCAGATGTAAGGTCGTCTAGCCACAACTTGATCTTCTCAAAGATGTGCAAGCGCGTTCCTTCCTGGTATTTCCCAGAGTGATACTGGATGACTCTCTCGGTGTTAACTTGTGCTAATTTTCTCAGAACTTCATCCTCTTCAGCTTTATCTCTTCTTTCTTCAGCGTTTGCAGCCTTATACTTTATCTGCTGCTGCGATTCTTGTTGGGTTCTCCGAACTTCCTGTAGCATCTGTTTTGTGTCTTGTATAGACTGCTGTACACCTTCAACTGCTTGGCGCGTATCCTGAAGAATTCTGTGGTCCCCTTGTTGCAATTTCACTGCCTCTTTTTGCAGCTGTTGTAAATTGCCAACTGCCTGGTGTGTATCTTGAAGCGTTTGTTCCACTCTGCCAACTGCCTCGTGTGTATCTTGAAGAGTTCTGTGGTCCTCCTGTTGCAAATTGCTGGCTTCTATTTGCGTCTCTTGCACTTTTCCAATTATTTGATGCGTATCGTGAAGAGTTCTGTGATCTTTCTGTTGGGTCTGGAGCACTTGCTGTTGTTTATTAAGTAGATCTTTCAGCTGGAATTGGATCTCCTCGTCATTTTTCATCCATTCAGTAACAGCGCTGACATAGTCCTCTCCACAAGGCTCTCGCTTTAATCTGTCTACTTCAGACTGACTTAAACCAAGCGAAACAAGAACGGAACTAACTTCCTGCCATTTCACATCGAACACTGATGTTTGAATGCCAGTTGATGCAACGTGACCATAGAGCACGTTTCGATGGTACTTCATGCGAGCAAGGTTAGCCTCAAAAGAGGTGTCACTCGCGGGGGGCATTCTGTCCCAGCCTGAAAGGGGAGGGGATAGGCCGCAAATGTTTCTCAGCAAGAGGAACAGAAGAGTGATATCAAAGTTAATAGAGTTTGGTGGCCCTCCACCTGGTGGTGGAAACAGTTTGTCCCATTGAACACCATTCAGAATGTTTCTATGCCGAAGTCTAGTAAGAATGGGATGAATATGTCTGGAACTAAGATTAGCAGCCAAGTTGGCAGGAGGGTGATGGGAATCGAAAATATTCCTCAGCACTGTTGTTCCCCCATCGATGAGAAGCCTACTTAGCTTGTTTCCATTTGTCTTCTCAACAGAGCTGGCCAGGGGTGACGGTGTTGCAGTCGCCATAAAAGCCAGAGAAGGAAATATCCACCACCCTTTAAATCTGTGTAGAAAATTGCAGTTATCTTTTTCCCATTTTTAAGGTAATTTGAAAGAACTGACTAGTTGTGTACCTCACCACGGTTATTAAGATATTCAAAAGGTCTCATAACATAAACATTTTAAATTGAACGGCTTTTGCATAATAGGCCTTTTTCCAAAAGTAAATAAACAAACAAACAAACAATACTCCTTGTTTTCCCTCAAAAACTTTACGTAAGCATGCATTTTGTATAAGGAAGATTGTAAGTCCCAAGATTATTCATTATGACTATGAATTATGGTAGTTTTGAATTATAAGGCCTATTACAGTGCACACTTTCATCATCATGCAAATTTATATGTGATATCAAAATATTTGGTCTTTCATCTTCATCCTTCATGAGTTTGCAACAAAATGACTAAATGACAAGCTCCACTCCCAGTTGGCTAATGTAAGCTCAGTTAGGGAGAAAACTAAATATCTTAGTAGTAAAAAAAAAACTTCTAACATTAGTGTAAAGGGGTCATTGACAGATACCTGAGAAGTAGTTACTCTCTCGAGTTTAAAACTTGGAGGACAGTTCTACAAGCACCAATCATAGAAACTGAAAAAAAATGACAAATGTTAACCAGAAGTTAGGAGGCATAAGTCAAATTTTGGTAGGGATATAATAGCACTTGTAATTTCCCTAAAGATAAGTTTACTCACAGGCATGACTCATTGCAAATTACAGAACCTATTATATTTCATTAAATTATATGCTTACAAAAGAAAAAAAAATGGTACAAAAAAAAGAACATCATCCTACGATGCCAAGACACCACACAAAAGAAAATAAAAATTGCATGTATTACACCATAAACAGAAACCTGGGTAAAATATTAAGTTTATTTACTTGCTCTGAAGTCCTATCTGCCCCCCTCCCATCTCCCTGCTTTCACTACTTCTCCCCTCTCCCATGGATGCCCTACAGCTCCCCCTCCTCCCCCCCAAACTACAACTTTCACTCCCACTACCCTTCTCCCCCCCTCCCTCATTTACCACTGCCAGAGTAACAGTATCACCCACCCTCCCTTAAACTACAATGCCACTGCCACTCCTCCCTCCCTCCTGGTTACCAACAATAATATTACCCTCTCACCCTCCCTCATTTATTAATTGAGCCTACATGTAGGTTTTACAGCCCCCTGTCAGTATAACAGCTGCAACTGCTACTACAACATTGCTGACATTACATTACTACCACCACCTAAGTGTATTAGCAATCTTATAACATAATAACAATAACTGTGTTGTTTCTAATATATGATGCAAAAAATTGTGCTCATTGGTGATTAAAAGAACTAGGTCACTACAAAATAAGTACCGGAAATGCAAGTATAATCCTTAGTTCTCTATAACACATGTATGAGGCCTTGTTAGGGCAAATAACTCTGACAAGCGACATGGCCTTGAACCAGTGACATAAGACTTCATTGATGAAATGGCAACAAACGACATAATTTAAGATTACTTAAATACGGTGTAACAACAGTGACATGGCCTACTCCTCAAAACATGAAATGACCCTGTTTGAAATTCAGGCCAGGGACATACATACCCCCTCCTCCACCCCACCCCTAAGAGGGCCTCATTATGTACAACTGAAGCATCACATTATCAACATTGATTGGATGATTATTTATTAGGCCCAATTTTCATTTGGTTTTCAACCTACCTTAGGAATATTCAATAATACTGTCAAAAAATAGAGAAGAATTGAAAGCATTATATATCTCATCCACAAAGAAAAATGCCAATTATTAAGGCATCACTGTATGGGCCAACTGCCTATAAGTTCTAGCTGCATTGAAATACACTGAACATGTAATGCATGTATCAGCTACTATTTTCTATGGCTCAGTCAGTTCCAAGCATGGCCAGATCACATCATTCTAATTAACATAAATGACAGATCTATATTAACTAGATTTTAATAACACCTTTTATATTTCCAAAGGTATTTAAAAAAGTGAATGATAAACAAACAACTGACTAGCTTAACATTTTCTCATCATGATGGAGCCGTTCTGTCAAAGCATATATTAGCTTTCTATTATCTCGCAGAGTTTTTTTAAAAATATGTTTTTTCCTTTAAATTTTTCAAATGATGTATTGATTGTTTATCCTTATATTTTGAGCAAACTGATCTTGATGGCAGGAATTGGGGACCAATTTCTTACACAGAGGCAAAAAAATACTGTAAGGTAGGGTGGTGAGGGATGGAGGAAAACCACACGTATCTTTTAAAGCATATAATGGTATTTAAAATATTCTTTATGTATCTATACATAGCTATCTAAACAGGCATATTTTAAGTGATAATATTAAAAAGGAGCAATATCAATCACTTCCAGAAGAATTAACCAATGCCCCACCCCCAAGCAGAGGTTTTCTGACAAATTCCCCACTGCCAGGACCTACAACATGACAAATTCCTGACAAGTCCCGGGGGGGGGATGGGCCATTTGGAAATGACTACTTAAGCCATTATCATTAATTTATCATTTGAAGCAAATTTTTCTTTCTTTTCATTGGCCGAAAGCCCTCCACATGACCTGCAAATAACTGCCTACAAATAATGGTCTGCTCATGCACAATGTCGTCCAACTGTGTTTGGCTTTGGCATTTGGCTGCAATAATATTCTGCTCATGCGTAAAAGAACCCACGCTTTTCTCCTTGTGCAAAAATGGCAGATCGCTTTGCTTTCAGAGGATATACACGTTGATCATTTAATGATAAATCAATTATTATTGAACTCAGTTATCACAAAATATCGTGATTTGTCATTGTCTAGCCTGTGAACAGACCCCCCTCCCCTCAGGAAAAATCAAAGAAGAGGCATCTGTGATTCACCGTCGCTAATCGCGTATGGGAATAATTTTAAATTAAAATAAAAAATAGTTTCCGCTGACCAAAAATTCTGTGGCTCATGTTTCATGTCATTCCAGTTCTCAAAATGTTGCTGCATGTCACCAACTTATTTTCATTGAGCAACTGAGAGAGAGAGAGAGAGATTTTTAAAATTGGTTTACTCTATACTGAGCAAGAAAAATGTTCTTGCAAGCCCATATTATTGAAGGAAAAGATTCCTGATCTTATGCAAGCCTTCCCACTGGATATGGAAAGTCATTAGTTTGAAATAAAGTGCTGACAGGTAAGATGCGACTCATAAGCTCATGATAGTGTGAAACACGACCTAAGTGTTAGCTTGAGTAACAGAGATTTTCCTTAGAACTAATTTCTTTCCAGCACATAGATTATGCATCGTAGTGTATGGAGTACCATGAGTGTTGACTGAACTAATCCTATTTGTGCCTTTGATTCTTGCAGTTAGAGGTCATGAAGCTGGTATAACTCATGCATATTGAGTTATTATTTCCTGTGGTTTTGTGTTACTGAAGGTGTTTGTGACAGGATTTGTCAGATCTCGGATGCCGTTTATATTAGAACCGATTTTTCTTTTACCTCTTTGAAGCCTAAAGCTTTTTAGTACCGCTAAAGAACCTTTCAGTAAAGATTTCCGTTTCTTTTCTTTTCTCTGGCAAAATCCCTGGATCTCAAAAGCTACATGCATGTAGTTGTCTTTGAATGTGAAGATTTTCTGGTTGCCTGCTATGTTTTGACGACAGGCCCTAAAGCCAATCAAACTCCCTCATTTACATGATGTAGTGATCTACGAGTAACAGCCAATCAAATCATTTTGCACATATTCCAGGAACAATCACATGGCCTCCATACAAGATTAGCAACAGTGAATCACAGACGCCCCTTCTCCGATTTTTCCTCAGGCTATCGATGTCTCGCAGATCATTATTTGCCTCAGCCGACTCGCCACTGGCAAATCACGATATTTTGCTCAACCCCATCCAATAATTAATGATTGTTTACATTTGAAGTTTGATGAGAAGTTTATTGATAATGATGGCAACTGCAATAACTGACAAATGCTAAAATAAATTTTAAGAGGAAGTAGTTAAATTTTGGCGGAGATTTAATTGCAATACCCTAGCCTGAATTTTCGTTCGCGTGATCGATTTAGTAAACATTGCAAGTGACGTCACGGCGGCCATATATTTGGTGATCAATTTCATGCAAATTCCGCGAAAAACCATTGTAATGTTTTGAACAGTAAAATGATTGCCTTTTAATGCAGACGAAAATCAAGAATATGAACAGATAATATGAATAGCTTCGGAATTAATAAAGAAAAGAAGACAACTTACCCGTTCCAGACTTCTTGAACTACATTTGAATCAACTCAATTTAAGCTTACTGACTCTCTCAAGCCCGTAGTCTTTCAAAGTCTGCAAGTCTTCTCCAGAGGCCGAGTTCTTTCCTAAGGAGGACAGTGATCGTTAAAACTGTATCAACTCATCATGCTAATTCATCCAATGGGTATAAAGAAACTGAAAAGATCATGGAATGCAGGATAGAGGGAATAACGTTTCGAGAATGTACCACGCGAAGCAGAAGTGAGTAAAGTAAAATCTTGTGGTGGCTATCAATTGTTACCCATCCAAAGCGCAAACAATGCAGTTATTCCAATAAAAGGATGCAAACTCACCTTGCTGTCGATTGCTGCCAAGAACAAGTTGATGTTTTATCCCGAAATGTATAAACTACATCCCCAAGACTTGCATCGACTTGCACACCAGAGGGGGAATGTCCCAGAAATCCATGCGGGAAATAAAAGACTTGCCTGGAGGTTAGCCCGGAGGCATTCTCGTCCCCAGAGAGTGGCTCTGGGGACGAGAATGGCCCGGAGGGGGTTAGGCTTTAGTTAGGCTCAGTCTCCGGCCTGCGCCCGCGGTACTCCGCCACCCGGGGGTTTATTTGACGCATGCACTGTACTCTCCCTCGTACCTTCACGGGCTGATGACGAAATCGAATTGAAAATTAAACGAGATCTGATTTGGATTCTATGAGTCATCAGCGGGGAGT